TATTCCATGAATTTACATAAGTACCATCATGACTGTTAATATGTGTTTGTACAGAGGAAGCGCTAAAAATTAAAGGACAAACTCAAGAAACCATGAGTACAGAGGAGTGTATGCCACCTGGTCATGTGTTTGGATCGGATGAGGTCTTGCCTATGCTTGAGCCTCTTTATCCAAAATATACTCATCCAAAGGTAAACAACCAAACCTTATTAAAATAAACAATCATGCTGGACTCACTGAGTGCCTAAATAGACATGACAAAACAAAAATTGCTTAAARAGATTGTGTTTTCTTTTGTTGCCATTTTGACGCAATASCTCCAAATAATTGGGTAATGGTATGACGCAGTGTCAATGTGTGGTGGTGAATACATCTTAATAATATAATCAATGTCCAAGAAATTGACATACCAAGAGTACATAAAGATAAAGGTTTCTTTTCTTCTTTTTTGAGGGGGGAGGATTTTTTTAAAGGTGGAAACTATGAGGTGGTAGGAAAGTGAGGGGTGCACCTAACTAATGTGACTAGTGTCACTACCCTGAGCGACCTATAGATTAATAAAACATCTTCTTTTTCTTCTTCTGTCTTTTTTATAGGTTCCATGCTGTGTTAAAGTACTTGCACCAAGCAGTTGGAATCCTCCACCAGGATACAGAAAGTTAGCAGGTCAGTAGATTAAGTACATTTTATGTATACATGTAGTTTAAAACATGAGAGAGTCTGTTTTATCAAGTATAAAGATTTGAGCTGAAGGCGAGAATCTTTATACCTGAGTGTTTTAAACGGCTTCAAAAACTCCAACACTAATTTGAAACTCAAACCTGTTAAAATTCTTGGAGAAATTGCCGTAAAAGTATGTTCTGAGATAAATAGGGCAAACTGATCATGCATGAATCACTTTACAAAGCACTCTTGTCATCCCACATTGAATACRCATAAAATAAAAYAGAAGCGCTSTTGGCTGTTCACAGCAATCGGTTGACATCCTGCATTGGTCAATGATCAGGTTTCAAACCTGAGACCTTTGCTAGGGTCATGGACCTTTATATCTGATAAAGGTCACCCTTATTAGTATTCTTTATATAAAGAAAACTAATAAGGAGTGTTTTATCWGATATAAAGGTCCATKCATGTGACCAAATAGGCTCATTCTATTGGCCGAATAACTCATTAATTATGTATGWGTTTTTGAATGTATTTATTCAAGCCTCATTGCAAGCACAATACAAGACAGAACAAAATGAGAATGTTATACACTTTCATAAAAAAGTGCTAGTCAAAATAACACGCCTCAAAACAGGTTTTATGTATTCCATATTGTTGAAATAACCATAAATATTAAAAATTAACAACGTTTGATCCATAAAATCTCTGTTTCCATTTGAGTTTTGATGCTAAAAGACAGCAACAATCCCATCCGCCATTAAATATGAATAAGCGATTTTTGAATCAGTAGTTGCACGTATRACGTCAGAGGCGCACATCRAGCAGAGACAACAAGAGAAACAATATGGGGCAAAGTGATCTTTCTACRTTCAACTTTTTAAAACACTSCGAAAATTACCACAAACTYGTGTTGAATTTGGCGCTAGTGCGTCTCTGACGACACTTCTATGAATATGTAATGAGTTRGACGGCACGCTCTCAAATAATGGCGGATCAGAAAACACGAAATTCATCGGTTCAAAAAGATATCTTTTCGTTGACGTATAGACACAAAAAATGGCCAGAATGTTATTTGGTATTTATATTTTATTCTGTATAAATTTCAAGAATTTTAGTGTTTTGATRAGACTAGCACTTTAAAACTGTAATTACATGTATTTCAGGGGATTTATTATATATTGATATAACAACACTGGAGGAAAACCAGGTAGTTGTCACAGCATCAACTACTGGATTTTATGTCAACAAGTAAGTCAATATGTTGATCCTTTTTAAAATACAGTTTTTACGTAAAATGAATTAATTACTATCATTATTGAAATTTATACCAAAAAAACTCATCAAAATAAACACTTTTAGTGTGGCTAGTTCAATATTACTGTCAACCCTTCATTTGATTAATGAAACACCTAATATTTTTTTTATTTT